CTGTATCTGCGGTTCAGCATCTGAGGATTCTATCAACCTCGGATTGTGTAGTACTGTAGTATTTACTACTGAAAATTATCTGAGAATAAGTGGACCCATGCATTTCAAACCCATACTGTTCAAGGGTCAACTGTATTCATCTTCAGTTGCTGAGTATTAAATTACCACAATTTAGCAGTTTAAAACAAAATCCATATACTGTCTCACAGTTTCCGTGTGTCATGAATCTGGTTCAGGTTAGCTGAGTTCTTTGCTCAGGGTCTCAGAGACTGCAGTTGAGGTGTTGGCTAGGACTGCAGTTTCACCTGCAGCTCAGAGTTCTGTTCCAAGCTTTTGTGGTTGTTGGCAGAATTCATTTTCTTGCAGCATTAAAACTTGTGATTTGTTTCTTCAAGGCCAGCAAGGGAGTGTCTCTCTAACTTCAGGGAAGGCCCTGATCCCTCTTTTAAAGGGCTCACCTGATTCTGTCAGGCCTACTAAGGATAATCTCTGTTGATTAACTCAAAGTTAAATAATTATGTCTGCAATATTCTTTAATATTTCCATGTCACATCAGGCTTACAGAAAAATCATAAAAACATACTATGAAGTGTTGTATAGCCTTCAGCCAGATTCCCCAAATGTCAATGTATGCATGTGTTCCCTTCACCCACCCTCCTACCCAAATGTATGCTCTCAATCTAGCATTCACTTGCTCCCTCTCTCTCTCTCCCCTTCCCTCCCTTCTTCCTCCCTCCCCCTCCGTCCTGTCCTCCCCCACCCTTTTAGTCTTCCTCTCTTCCCTCCATTTTCACACACACACACGCACACACACACACATAAATATATACATATATATATAGCTTTTTATAATCATTTGAGAGTAAGTTGCAAACATCATGCTCCTCTAATAGTACATGCCCACCTAAATACTTCAGTGTATACTTCCTACAAACAAGGGCATTCTTTTATATAATCAAATTATAGTTATCAAAATCAGGAGCTTAATATTAATACAATGCTATTATTATCTAACTTCCACATCTGACTCAGTTTTAGCCAGTTGTTCCAATAATATCTCTCATAATAAAAGAAAATCTAGGATTATTTGTTGGATTTAGTTATCATATCTGTTGAGTTTTCTTTAGTCTGGAATGGTTGCTGAGTATTTGAAATTGACATTTTTAGGAGTTCAGGCCAGTTATTTTGTAGAATCTCTTTCAATTTGTGTTTGACTAATGTTTCTCATGATTAGGTTCAAATTATGCACTTTTGTCAGGAACTCCTAGAGTTTTAGAATGTTTCTCAAGGATACTTTGTAGAATCAGAACTTTTATATAGCGGAGTTATCATCAGGTTCTAAAATGGAAATAATATTCCCCCAAATAAATATTCCCAAAAACAATTCACAAAACCAGACTTTTTAGAAATTACAACTGACCATTTCCTAACACAGAGCCACTCAGAAAAGATTCTTTCTAAAAGAATCCAGATCATTGGACTCCCAATATTGCTAACTGGTACTGGTAAATTACAAATGTTTCTCATCTGAAGGAGTGTCTTAAAAATTTGTTGAGAGGAATAAACCCTCGAAGAATAGCATCAACCTCTCATCTAACAATCAAAGGAAAACATTGTGAAATAGTATTGAGGGGTCCCCCTTAAGAGAGAAGTAGGCTCAGCAGTTTCATTTAAAAGTTTCTGAACCCAAGTATTTTTGTCAATAAACAAGGATAAAAATACTCACTTTGCAGGACTTTTCTGAGGAGCTCATGAGACAATGCATACAAAGGTCCTACATGTTCTTTGGTATATAGAATATGTTCAATAAGTGTTTATTTTTTCCGTATAGTCTTCCTCCAGCTAAATGGTATTGATATGAAAGCATGACATTGAATGATTCCTTGTTAAAATGTAGTTTATTTTGTTCAGTTGGGTTTTACTTTTGTGATTTAATATGTATATTTAAAAGGCTTTGACACCATCTAAGAATTAAGTTCAAATTAGAAGATAACTATGATTCAATATCTTATAGTAACACTGCAGATGCTGTACAAGCTAAAAACTTCAAAAGTGTTTGAAAAACAGAAGGTAGGAGAAGGAAAACAAACATGTGAAATTGTAGAGGAAGATCCATATGCCATTCAGATGATCCACTGGTGTCCAGAGAGCAGAATATTCTGTGTATCAGGAGTCTCTGCATATGTCATAATTTATAAATTCAGCAGACATGAAATTACAACAGAAATAGTGGTAAGTCATTTAAAATTTAACTTTCACACTTAGAGTTATTAAAAGAAAACAGTTATCATAGATCTTAACTAGTGCTTGGTATGGTTTTAAGCCACCAAGAGTACAGTATGTGGCCAGTAATCCAATTTATAGAATTTTTAATTGTTCTTGTTACTTAGTATAACATATTAAAAAGAATTTGGCTTAAAATGACAAAAACAGTTCTCTATCAAAATTTAGTATTATTAAATAGGATAGATTATGCCTATAGGTTTTATATAGATAGTTACTGATTTATTTTATATATAAATGTCAAATTAATGCAAGCTTTGTTCTATATCTTTATTAAATTTCTTTTAAATTTATCTTTTTGCCAACTGATTGCCATAAATGATTATTTTTCAACTACAATAAGATTACTTTGAATGATTTTTTAAATAGCAACATATTTGTAGGGTGGAAATAATTATGGGCCTGCCTTATGTAATCTTAATTTTTAAACTGATGAAATAATTTAATTATTCAAAATAATGATGCTCTCATGGGATAAATTAAATCTAACTTAAGGCACCTATAGATAATGGGTCTTCTCTACCCAGTCCATTTTACCATTTTATCAGAAAATAAAGATTATCTATTAAAGGCCTATGTATAACTGTTTTCACCTCAATGGCTAAAATTAAACATTGCCCTTAAAGTATATATTAGTTAAAACCCAGGCTTTGGAGTCAGATGAGCCTAGCTTTTAATTCTGGCTTTGTCAATGAATACCTGTATGATTCTGAACAAGTCACAAGGCCCATTAGTCAGTAGTACAGTCTGGGTAAGTCTCAACTTCATCACTCATATAACTTCCTGTGTAAATAAAATAGAAAAACAGAAAATAATCATAAACTAGAAATTTTAATGCCACTTTCATAGAGTTCTTGTGATGATTATATAAAGTCATTAGCAGAGTGTCTTAGTAAGCACTCAATAATTGGTAATTGTTATTGTCACCAGAGGTTTTAAGTTTTAAGATAATTATGACAATCATTTTGATAATATTGCTGTATTCACTACTCCATAATTACACTTTTTGTAAGCAATTGTTTTTAATCTCAAAAATGCTTATTTTTACATTGAAAAGTGAATGTTTATGTTATAAAATTGATTTTATTTAAGCATTGAATGCAGTCATAAAGTAATTTAAAAACATTTTCAGCTTTAAAAAAAAAGGTTTTGGATCACCTTTTTATTCCAGTATAAATTATCATATGTTTTTCATTAAGCAATTCTGACCAAGCTAATGAAATTATATAAGAGCTAAACTAATGAAACAAACAAAAATATGGAATTTATTTTGGAAAATTTATACTGAAGTAATTCAAAGTCAAGATTGAATGAAGGTTTTTTTTAAAGCTAAGAAGCTTTGTACAAATAACAATTTGTGTGTTGTGTGTGTGTGTGTTTACACACACACACATCCAATTTAGCTTCTTTCATTGGAATAACCATGACCAGTTTCTCCTTTGATCATATATGGAATTGTAGTTTATACTTTATCTTAAAGAATATTTATTATACAGAAAATTTATCTCCACTGGTAGGTATTTTCTTATAATTCTGAAGAATTAAAAAACATTTTAGGGACTTCCCTGGTGGTGCAGTGGTTAAGAATCTGCCTGCCAATGCAGGGAACATGGGTTCAAGCCCTGGTCCAGGAAGATCCCACATGCCGCAGAGCAACTAAGCCCATGTGCCACAACTACTGAGCCCATGTGCCACACAAGTGCTGAAACCCACGTGCCTAGAGCCCATGCTCTGCAACAAGAGAAGCCACCGCAATGAGAAGCCCACACACCACAATGAAGAGTAGTCCCTGCTTGCCACAACTAGAGAAAGCCCGTGCACAGCAACGAAGACGCAACACAGCCAAAAATAAATAAATAAATAAATTTATTATTTTTTTTTAATTTACATTTTTTTTGTGAATGCCATTGAATATTCTATATAATTTATTATTTAATTCAGTCTGGGGTATCTCAACTTTACTATGAATTGAACTAATTAATCTGAAAAAAATAATGAATAATTACTGAAAGAGTACCAGATATTTTAATGTGATTGTTATGAAAATCTAGGTTAAATCAAAACTTGATTTTTCTTTTTTTAAGTCATTAGAGGTACGACTTCAGTGTGATATTGAAGATATTATTACCCCGGAACCAGAAACAAGTCCTCCATTTCCTGATCTCTCATCCCAGCTTCCTTCTTCAAGGAGTCTTTCTGGGAGCACTAACACTGTGGCTAGTGAAGGAGTAACAAAGGATAGTATCCCATGCCTCAAGTAAGAGTTGCTACCAAATTTTAAAACAATTTTACATGTTAATTGTATAATTCTTTGAAACTGTGCCAAATAAAATCATCCTTCTCTTTTATTAAGTTGTTGTCAAGTGGTCTACAGTCCACCAAGGGGTACCTTTGTCTTCTTTTTTTTTTTGGAATATCTATGAAGAGGGCACAATATTTCCATTCTTCATTACTAATTAATATATTTCCTTCCCTGACCGACCCTAAAGAAAACATAGCTTTGATAGAATGGGAAAACGTTTGGCAAAGCAGAAACTTGCCACTTGCCTGGTACTTCTCAACTGATAAAGTATTTTTAGGGAATGTCTTCAGCCTTCTTGGAATCAAAAAGAAAACCAAGTTTACTACAAGAATACTATGTCAGAAAAAAAGCTTTTTTTCTCTCATGGTTACTAGGATATTGCATAATATTTCTTTCTCTTTTTTCAACTGATACTATTTTGTAATAAACTGCGTTGTCTCAGTATATCTAAACAAATTTAGTGTCATGCTCAAATAAAACTTAAAGTTAATCAAGCCTATAGTGATGTTTATCTTGTTTTTATGCTTTCTGGTAATAGGGTACAAAAGAATGCAGTTTCCTTAAGTTACCACTTACTGCTTCTACATCGTCAAACCAAATGTTTCTAGTATTAGCTGGTTGGAGAATTTAGCTTAAGCAAGGAATTTCTCTGAGCCTCATATGAAACTATCTGAGTCTGCTACTCAAGGAACTGTGGATAACTAGTTTCCTCATTTCTTATAAAAACACTTATGGAAAATTTAAAGATAAGGTTTCAGGAGAAAAATAAGCTTACCATACAATTAGCAGTTGCTGTACTTTTGTAATCATTGCTTCTGCCCCGCACTCCAAATTTTTCTTGTGAAATTAAAAAAGGAAGTATAAGTAGGCATTACTGAGAGGAAAATCTATGAAGGGGAAACAAAATCATTAAACTTTAGCAAATGGAAAACTTTCATAATGTTATAATTTTACACATTTAATTTTTCCTTCATATCACTTTGTTTCACTTAATTGATTTATATTAAAATGAAAGACAGAAAGAGAACAAAAAATTAAACAAAGCTTAAGAAAGCACTGTAGATTTATTAGCTAAGAAGACCCATCACTAAAATGGGTCCTGCAATGACCTGAGTATTTTTCTATAAAATTTAAAAAATATAAAAGATAGGGATAAAAGAGAAAAACCAGTAAAATCAGCAGAAATCTGGTAGTGGAGATGAAGTAAATAATACCATGTGTTGTAGCATTTAATGCAGACTTGTAAAGTAGTAGTGACAATCTTAAGGATTATCAAGAGAACCAAAGGGATTCAGTATAATCCTATATGTATATAAGCTCCAAAGCACCAAGCAGCAGAAGTATATTATTCTTTGAGTTACAGTATATTACAAATGGTTCTTGAGTTGCATATAATCTATGCTTTACTAAATTATATGTTGGCATCCATCCCTAAATGACTTTCCTTTGCTGGATTTAGATATCCATATATGTAAGCTAATAAATAAGCCTTTCAATACTGCCAGCTCTTCATTTTTAGCAATATTACAATTCTTATCAATATACACGTTTGTGCAATTATCTGATTTTCTTTTGACTTTGTATGAGGTCATCATAGGCCTCCTTAGGAGGATGAGACTTAAACCAAATGTAGATGAGGGAGTTATCTGAAGAATATCTGGTGGAAGAGTATTCCAGGCAGCAGGAACAGCTAGAGCAAAGGTCTTAAAAGTGCCTGGCATATAAGGAGGTCAGTGTAGCTAGAACAAAGAAAGGATGGTGGGCAGTAGAGGACAGGGTAGTAGGAGATGAAGTCAGATGGGTAACAGAGGGTAAATTATAGGCCATTGTAAGGACCTTGACTTTTATTCCTAATTAAATGGGGATGATTATAGGGTTTTAAATACAGAAGTGATATGATCAGACTTAAATTTTAAACTGGTCACTTTGGTCACTATGGTGAAGGTAGATTTGGGGATGGAAGGGAAAGGTAAAAGATGGGAGACCAATAAGGAGGCTATTGCACCTACCTAGAGATAATGTTAAGGTCTGGCAGATTCAGCAAAACAGAAGAAAACAAAACAGAGCAGGATACACTAATTTGAATTTCAGAGAAACAATGAACATTTTTAGTATCAGTGTATCCCAAATATTACATGGGAAATACAGTAAAAACAAACAAATAAAATAAACCCATTATTTATTGTTTATTTGAAATTCAGATTTAAATGGATATCCCATATTTTTATTTGTCAGCTGTAACTAGGATGGTAGCAGTACTAAAGTATTATAAAAAGTGGTCAGCTTCTGCATATATTTTGAAGGTAGCACCAATACATTTGATAATTGGTTGGATGTGAGATATGAGATGTAAGGTATAAGAATATTAGTCAAGGATTACTTTAAGGTTTTTTAACTCAATAACTAGAAGGATAACAGCTGCTATCAGCTGGAATAGAGAAGGCTGCAAGTGGAGCAAATTTATAGAGAAAGCAGGAATTCAGCTTTTGAATATGTTGAACTCTTAAGTTGGGTGGTAGATAAATGGTCATAGTTTTTATTGTTATGCATTATAACTTACATATATGTAACAAATATTATGTAAGAAAAATAATTAAAATACTACTATCACAAGAGAAAAAGGAACTGATGAAAGCCAGGTGAAGTTATGGATCTGACTGAAAAACTACTTAAAGGAAAGGCTAAGAAATCACAAGTGTCTTGGTTTATTTTGAGAAAGCTAGAGAAGATACTGCCTACCTGCATAATGTCCTCAATGCCTGGTGTTGTATATTTCTGTAGGAAGATTTGTTGTAAATTCTGAAAATAAGCATGAACATACGTATTTGAACTGTATATGATGCAATTACTTTTTCTCTGTTTTCTAGTGTTAAGACACGACCAGTGCGGATGCCTCCAGGGTATCAAGCAGAACTTGTTATTCAGTTGGTCTGGGTGGATGGTGAACCTCCACAACAGATTACTAGCCTTGCTGTAAGCTCGGCATATGGAATGTAAGTAGTTAACAGTCTTCTAATGTGTATTATTTATCTGATATGTTTGATATATTTAAATGTTTCTTTTAAAATACTTAAGTGAAATCCTAAAAATGGAAAGAAGCCCTTACCTGGATTTTTATTAGATTGAAAATGGTACTAAGAAAAATAATAATTTAAATATAAACTGTGATTCTGTGTTCTTTCTTGATGTAAAACTTTAATAGTATCCCCACTTTTAATGTTGTTGGGAGGTTGTTAGGATGTTAATACACTCATACATGTTTGTTTGTTTGCTTTGTCTTTTCTATCCTTTCCCTCCTTGTGTTTCATTTTAGATACTTTCTTTTGACTTGTCTTTAAAAGTTCACTAATTCTTCAGTGCTGTCTAATCTAATGGTAGATTGACTCATGGAGTTCAATTTCAGTTATTTTTTAGTTCTAGACCTTCCATTTGGTTCTTTTTAAAGCTTTCTGTTACCTTCTTAAATTATCGCTTTTGTCTTTTATTTCCTTGAACATGTCGAATATAGTTACTTTAAATATGTGTTTGATAACTCCATAACTGGTTTCTAGCTTAGCATTTGTCTTGGTTTTTGGTCACATTATATTGTCTTCATGTAACCTACGTTTTCTTTTTGATTTTGTTTCCGTTTTGTTTTTTTTAATTCAAAATTATATGAACATTATATACTCTCGTGTATATATATATATATATATATATATATATATATATATATATATATATATAAACATTATAGAGATAATTTGAGGTTCTAAATGATGTTATCATTCTCCAAAAAGTATTTTTCATTTCCTCTGACAGGCTAAACTAAGAGTCAGTAGAAAGTGCAGAACAGCATAATCCAGTCATACATCCTATCTTTGAAAGTTGGATTGTATTCCCTTTAAAAGCTAATTTAGTTCTAATTAATCCTTATTCCTAGGTTGTTGCCCTGCATAGAAGTTGTACCAAATTCTACTCCCACCAGCAATGTTTGAGAATACCTGATTCCCTACAACCTTTCTAACAATAGTATATAACCAAACTTTTAATCCCTGTCATTTTAAGTAAAAGGAAGTATATTATTATAATATTAACACTTCCCTTGTATCTTAAGTGAAATTGGACATCTTTTTCTCTACTGTGACATTTCTGTTTCTATTCTTTGTCCATTTTTTGGCAGAGTTGTTGTCTTTGTCTTTTAGATTTGTGAAAAATGTTTACATAGTAAGTAAGTTGGCTTTCTCTGTGATGTAACCTATAGATATTTTCCTTTCTTTTGTTTCTTTTATGACTTTGTTTAGGATGTTTTTTTCCATGCAAAAATTTAAAATTTTCTAATTTAATTTTTAAATTCTATTTTTTTCTTTTATGGCTCTGGATTTTGTGTCATACTTAGAAAAGCCTTTTTCACTTCAAAATAATGAAGAATATTGTCCTATATCATTGTTTCTTTAATATATTTAAGTCTTTATCTGCAATTTATTTAGGTATGAGGTATGAAATAGGGATTAAACTTTATTTCTTACCTGATGACTAAGAGTTATGCCAATACCACTTACTGGATATTTCATCTTTCCCCTCTAAATTTGGAATCATCTTTTATCAAATAATACGTTAAAATATATATATATATATATTTGGCTCTATTTCTATACTTCCCAGTCTTCCCCTAAGCTAAGTCTCATGAGCTCCAAGAGAACTCCTTGAATCTAGCTGAAAGGGTGAATACCTGAAACAAACCTGTGTTCCTAGAATTTGGGGCAGGGGTAGATGTATGTGAATATGATATTGGGAGCTTGCTTCTTGGCTGAAAAATTCTTTGGTAGGAAAGCTGGCAGGAACAGTCCATGGATGAGGGGAGGAAAGGAAGGGAGTGTGGGACAGCTGATAATCCCATTGTTTGATATGGCAAGAAGATATGCTTATCTTTTAACCCAGGTAGTTACCATTGAAGTTGGCTGAGCTCAAGCCATTTTCAGGGTTCCCTACTTAGAGACTGACCTACAAAGGCAAGGCAATGCCAAAATTAAGAGCTATGAAGGTGTATTGCCAGGTTCAGGAGCTGAAAGTTGTTGGAATAAGTCAGTTAGAGAGCATATTTCCCTTATAAAGTTACTGTGGGGGTGACAGTCATTACAAAGCCTCTGAAGAACCTACACTTGTAGGAGAAAGCTTGGACGCCTGCCTCATAGATACCCTCAACTGCCAAAAAACTCCAGTTCAATTGGCTATCCATGTAAATTCCACCAAAGTTTTAGGAAATAAGTAACAACAGTACTTATTTTCTTTCTGAGAACTTATTCCTCTTTCTGAGAATTGTGAAAGAAAAAAATTATATTCCTCTCATTTTATGAGGCCAACATAACCTGATGTCAAAACGTGAAAAGGGATTGGATCAAGATGGCAGAGTAGGAGGATGTGGAACTCATCTCCCCCCACAAACAACTCAAAAATTCACCTACATGTGGAACAAGTCTCATGGAACTGGAAACTGTCAGAAGAATTCCTATACAACTAAAGCTGCAAGAAAGATTTCCATGTAACTGGGTAGGATGGAAAAAAGTCATAGGGTTGGGACCTCCACCCTGGGTAGGGATCTGAAAGGTTGAGAAGGTCTGTACCCGTGGACCCTTACCCTGGGGAGTGAGTAGGTCAAGCCACAGACTGGAAGTCCCAGTCCTGGGGCCTTACGCAGAGGAGACAAGCCCCTTTGGCTGTAGATAGAACTGCCTGCGAAAACTGAATCAAGAAGAAACAGATAATTTGAACAGACTGATCACTAGAAGTGAAGTAGAATCTGTAATTAAAAAAAACAAAAACAAACAAAACCTCCCTGCACAGAAGTCAAGGACTGGATGGCTTCAGTGGGGAATTCTACCAAAATTACAAAGAAGGACTTATACCTATCCTTCTCAAACTATTCCAGAAAATTGAAGAAGAGGGAACACTCCCAAATTCATTCTATGAAGCCACCATCACCCTGACACCAAAACCAGACAAATACACTACAAGACAAGAAAATTATAGGCCAATATCACTGATGAATATAGATGCAAAAATCCTTGGCAAAATATTAGCAAACCAAATCCAACAATACATAAAAAGGATCATACAACATGATCGAGTTGAATTTATTCCAGAGTCACAAGGATGGATGGTTCAACATACACAACTCAATCAATATGATACACCACATTAACAAAAGGAAAGACAAAAACTATGTGATCATCTCAGTAGACAAAGAAAGAGCATTTGACAAAATTCAATATCCATTTATGATAAAAACTCTCATCAAAGTGGGTATAGAGGGAACATATCTCAACATCATAAAGGCCATTTATGACAAACCCACAACTCACATAATACTCAATGGTTAAAAGCTAAAAATTTTCCTATTAAATTCAGGAAGAAGACAAGGATACCCACTCTCACCACTTCTGTTCAACATAGTATTGGAAGTCCTAGCCACAGCCATCGGGCAAGAAAAAGAAATAAAAGGTATCCAAGTTGGAAGGGGAGAGGTAAACTGTCACTATTTACAGGTGACATGATACTCTGTATAGAGAACCCTAAAGTCTTCACCCCAAAACTATTAGAACTAATAAATGTATTCAGCAAGGTCACAGGATACAAGATTAATATACAGAAATTTGCTGCATTTCTATACACTAATAATGAAATATCAGAAACAGAAATTTTTAAAAATCCCATGTAAAATTGCATCCAAAAAAAGAAAAAACAAACAAACCTAGGAATAAACTTAACTGAAGAGGTGAAATACCTATATGCTGAAAGTATAAAACATTGATGTAGGAAATTGAAGATTATTCATAGAAACAGAAAGGTATCCCATGCTCTTGGATTGGAAGAATTAATATTGTTAAAATGGCCATACTACCCAAAGCAATCTACAGATTTATATGGAACCAGAAAAGACCCATAATTGCCAAAGCAATCCTGGGGAAAAAAAAACAAGGCATACCCTTCCAGATTCTATACTATACTACAAATCCACTGTGATCAAAACAGTGGGGTAGGGCTTCCCTGGTGGTGCAGTGGTTGAGAGTCCGCCTGCCGATGCAGGGGACGCGGGTTCATGCCCCGGTCCGGGAAGATCCCACATGCCACGGAGCGGCTGGGCCCATGAGCCATGGCCGCTGAGCCTGCACTTCTGGAGCCTGTGCTCTGCAACAGGAGAGGCCACAACAGTGAGAGGCTCATGTACCGCAAAAAAAAAAAAAAACCAACAGTGTGGTATTGGCACAAAAATAGACATATAGAACAATGGAACAGAATAGAGAGCCCAGAAATAAACCTACACACCTATAGTCAATCTATGACAAAGGAGGCAGGCATATACAATAGAGAAAAGACCATTTCTTCAACAAGTGGTGGTGGGAAAGCTGGACAACTACATATAAAACAATGAAATTAGAACATTCCCTCACACCATATACAAAAATAAAATAGTTTAAAAACCTGAATGTAAGACATGACACCAAAACTCCTAGAAGAGAACATAGGCAAAACATTCTTTGACATAAAGTGTAGCAATATTTTCTTTGATTAGTCTCCCAAGGCAAAAGAAGTCAAAGCAAATGTAAAAGCTTTTGCACAGCAAAGGAAACCATCAACAAAATGAAAAAACAACCTATGGAATAGGAGAAAATATTTGCAAACTGTGCCTCCAACAAGGGGTTAATATCCAAAATGTACAAACAACTCATACAACTCAATATCAAACACACACACACACACACACACACACAAAGAATCCAATTTTAAAAATGGGCAGAAGACCTAAATAAACATTTTTCTAAAGAAGACGTACAGATAGCTAACAGGCATGTGAAAAGATGCTCAGCATCGTTGATTATTAGAGAAATGCAAATCAAAACCACAATGAGTTATCACCTCACGCTAGTCAGAATGGCTATCATCAAAAGGTCTACAAATAATAAATGTTGGAGAGGATGTGGAGAAAAGAGAACCCTTGTACACTGTTGGAGAG